ACCTTGGAAACGTTACAGATTTCTGAAAGTGAGTCCATCGGATTCAGCATCACGTTCTACCTTTAAAACCATAGTTTCAGCTCTCTCTCATGAGAACTGACTCGTCTGGAACCCGATGATCTGAAGGATTTGGGCGAAAGTGCCGTCCTATTCGATGTAGATCAAATATCTTTTGAACAAAAACAAATCTCGAGAAAGTGGACGTATAACTTTGTAGAGCTTTAAACGGCGAATCGAACGGTATAAAACTTTTGGCTCTACGACCTCTCCAGGCGGAGTTGATGCATTTGCAAAAACAGTTGTCGTATTTTCGTCGCCGTAGTTTCGGCCTTCCGCAAAAAAACCATTCCTCGTCTTGGAGATCTGAAGACTACATGACTAGTTTCAGTTTTTGATGCTGAATCCGAATATCGAGACCGCAAATCTCTACGATCTTTCTCGGTGGAGTTATGGGCATTTTCCAAAAAACGGGTATTTTTCCGATTTTTGACCATAGCTCCGTATTTTGGAATTTTCTCGGCGAGGAAAGGGTTTTGGGAGCCGGGATGGTGATATTCGTGATTGCCGTCCGATTCTCTATCGAATGGTGTATAAATCAACCAAATCTATTTTTTCACTACATCTTTGAATGAGCTGCATCTTAACTCAAGAATAGTGAGAAGCATCATATTTTGGTGACGATAGTAGTATACGATTCTTTCCAGAAGGTTGTCTTTGACAGTGCTACTGCATAATTTTTCGACAATCGTTTCTCTTAAACTGATACTTGAATGAGTTAATGCATGAAGTTCAAAGCTCTATGAAACTCAGACGTCTCTCCTCTTTCCGAACAAAGGCTTAGTAGGATGGGGTCAAACGGTGACAAGTAGTGACACTTTGTGAGTGGATCTTAGCCAGGTGTTCTGCAATCACATGAGAAAATGTCGGTCTTAACGTGGAGGATATACATTTTGGTCTGATTGAGGGAAAATAGCCCGGTAGGCTGATCCAGCATCTCAAGCGATCTAGTTCAATTGGTTGTTAGGTGAGCACTTAAATGCAATTCAACTTTTATTTGAATGATCCGGATCTGATAAAATCTTTTAATTTGGGAACGCAGAGTTTTAGTAAAACACCAATGGATTTTCAATCACAACTATAGACTTAGATTTTTTAGGTTGGCCAATGAACTCGCCGGATACACCTTCGTCCAGCTGGACTGGCAATTGGAGTGGTTCGCTCAAAACCTATCCATTGAATGTAACCGGTTCTGGCTGGAACGTGGCAATGGAAATCGGACCGTATCCAACGACCGACGGAGAGTGTACCATCTGGCGGACCACTTATTCAGAAAATGGGACTCTTCAAGCACTCAAGGCCTATCGTTTGTGTCGGGGACGCGGTGCTGATGATCTGTATATCGATGAGGATAATGATGTGAAGATCAAGGCACAATGGATCAACAACGCGCTGGTGTCAGCGTTCAAGTATAAGGGTGTAATTCTTTTCACTAATATGCGAATGCTTGGAGATATCCTTGAAGAAGAAATGTTGACGGTCGATGATAAGCCTGCTATTGAAGACGCCGTTCAGTCGATGCCGGCACTCAGCATTCACATCAACACAATGAGGCGCGTCGGAACAGGCACGAGTGGCGCGAATAAAAGCGGTATAAGAAATATTCTTTTTTATATGTTCTGGATGAGAACTGTCATATGGTAACATATATGGTTGTGCCGCTAGTTTTCGATATACTATCGTTCTTCCCTTCGTTATAAAACTAGAATCATTCTGGTATAACTAACTGTGCAATCCGATTACATTTTTTGCCTGTTTATTGTTCATCAAAAACAAAATGTGTTAGATAAACAAAATGTAAAATAATAAAATGTAAAGTGTGAAAATATCGCAGTTGAGCAATTATGTCACCATTTGTTTCCGATTCTGTTCGGTCATCTTATCGCTCCTATATTTCTTCTTTCTATCATCAAATATGATAGAAAGGTCAAGAAGTAAGTAGTAACCTTATAACCCCAGTGTTTGTAGGTACTGGCTCTAAATCAAATTGGCAAGTTCAAAAGTTATTTCGATTATTGTTTACTGATAAGATTAAAATAATAAATAACTTAAATAGCTTAAGTAGTCCAACATAAGTTTATATGTTGCATGGTATTAGAGTCATCGAGAAATTATTAGATTATGATCCATTAGAAAAGTTCGAAAATGCTGTTCGGATATCACAGACTATCTTACAAAGGAATCTTTCCAGAGGTACGTTTTTGCTTAATATAAGTTTTTTCCAGATCAAATAAGAAAGAAACAAATAAAAAATCGAAAGTCACAGTGCATAGACTAGGGACAACATACAATCTGCGGATGTGTATTTGAGCTCCCTAAGTCATTTGTTTTGGATGCAGTCAACGAAACAAACTGATAGCATATAGGAAGGCCAATAATTTTTGGACCTACTGTACCTTTACTCATGCTGAAGAGCCTTGTCTCTTCTTTTCGATGAAATGTCGCCCGAATCTTCACTGTTTTTCGTTAGAAAGTTATAACCATTTTATTTCAGTGGAAAATCGTTAGGAAAGCACTTTTCCGGGCAAACTTCACTGTAAAATAGATGAAATTCTTGTGGAGATACATCAAGTTTACAAGGAGTTGTTGTGAAGAAACATCGAGTTTTTAAGGTTAAATTTCTTTTTTATTCATACGTGTAAGAATAGCAAATGAAAACGAATAAAAAAGTTCAAGAAAGTCAGAAATGATATGGATATAAAAGACAGGGGCTCCAGCATCCACTTGCCTTAAAAGCTTTTTGGGGGAAACTGCACGGTATAATAAATTGAATAGTAGACAAGAATATGTTAGATTCTAGCGTCGTATACGGAAATTGTCAACGAATTTTAGAGAATTCTAAAACAAAAATTCGAAATTTTGGATGACTAATAAACTAGGCTACCAACGAAACAGTTGCCCCCAGTAAAAATATAATGGAAATGTAGCATTAAAAGTACAGTTCTAGCGTTAAAAATACAACTTGGCTATGACATTCAGTCTAATGTATTGGATTATGTTATGAAATTTTTACGGCAGTCAAACTGTCATGAATCTGTCGAAGGTTATTCTACTAAAGTTTGTAAAGGAGGTGGTCCGCTTTTCCATTGCTTTGGCCCACTGCTTTTGACTTCGTTATGATAACATTTTGTAGAGAAAACGATTTTACACATTTCGAAGTGCATATGAACCATTATAACATTATGAAGGCTTTTTAAAATAGCTTTTCTGAGAAGGTACATAAAGCATATCAGTGCTTAATAAAACGATTTCATTCAAAATCTAATATAAATTTATGATAAAACTTGATAGAGATAAATAGCTCTTGAAAAGCTCTACAATATCTATTAATATGAAACTTAACGAATCCGGGCAGAAGGTCTTATGAGTTTAATACTAGTGCTACTACTTTCGATAGGTCGTAGTTATGCCAAGGGAACTCTTGATCACTTTTCTCTATGAAACTAAAGCGGATCTCTAATCATTCATGCATCATTCGATGTGCCTTGAAAAGCTCTACAACATGTGTTAATAGAAAACTTAAAGAAGCATGACAGCGGTTTTTGTGTAATTTATGATTACAGCGCTCTGACAGTATATATAACCGAAAAATTACGGATGATATATCTACAGCAGAGTTTATTTTTTATGATGGTAAATCGTGCAGTCGGAATAGATCAACGTCGGTAAGTCTGGGACATATATATTATTTTTAGCAACTGTGTTTTTTGTAAAAAGGGAAGAATTTTGAAGAAAACTTATTGGACTTATCCCTCCGGCCAAAAATAACTAGACTCGGTATTTTCCATACATTATCGCTATAAATTGTTCGTTTTGACAAAGTAAATAGAGATTCGGATAGCCCGTCAAATTCTCTACAACCCTCTATAAGTACATCTTCAGTTGTATTCGTCTGCTGAAAACAAATTCAAGAGCAACAAAGACACCTTCATCATCCCATTCCCGGGGGATGTGTGTGTTACATTTTCATCGATTTTTTTCAACTTATCATCAATTTATTTCAAAACTAAATTGGCAATCTGAACGGCCGTGAGAAACTCAATCATCCTCTACTGTCCCAGCCACGATTAGCTATTATTTGATCACAAACATTTGGCAGATGATTTATCCCCCTGGCCAAAAATAGTTAGACTCGGTATTTTCACTATATCGTTACTATAAATTCACATTTTGAGAAAAATAAGTATATGCTCGGATAGTCCGTTGAATTCTCTACAACCCTGTTGTTCTCTAGAAATAAATATAAGCACAAGGAAGGCACCCTGATTCTCAGATTCCCCAGAAATTCATGTTTTCCCGGCATTTTTTCAAAGTGTTTGTTTTTCGTTTTCAGAAATTTTTCATTTCTTTTTAATACAGAAACGAGTCATTAAAAAACTAAGTACACATTCTGAAAGCGCATGAAAATCTCTATCTCCCTGTATCGTAAAAATTTCTGAAAACGAGAGAAAAACTACTTGAAAGAATGACGGAAAAAAATGAATTTCCGGGAAATCTGAGGATGAGGGTGCCTTTCTTGTGCTTATATTTATTTTAGCGAACAACTGCGATTCAGAACATACTTATACAGGGTTGTAGAGAATTCCACGGACTATCCGAATATATACTTATTTTTCGCAAAATGTGAATTTGTAGTAACGATATAGTGGAAATACCGAGTCTAACTATTTTTAGCCAGACGGGTATATATTAAAAAGTCGCTGAAAACGCTTAGATTCTCGTGTTAGATACATAATGCAACCATGATAATGAACCGAAATATTTTCCTTTAATTTTATTACGAAACTATCAAATGGATAACTACAGTAAAATGAAATATATCTGCTTGCTCCTGAACTGAAAATACAT